ACAAAGAGAACCTCCTGCTGAGGTGGTCCCTGAGGTGGCCAGACAAGGTGAGATTGTGGACATGTAGAGGTGGGGCATGGTGCAGAGCCTGGGACAGAAAATGTGGATTTTAGCCATCTGTGCACAATGCTGATGTGACTGTCATTGCCTCAAGGCCAGACACAGAATGAGACTGGTGACTTGGCATGCTGTCATGCTGCCAGGGAGTTGGGAAGGCTCCTTTGTTTTGTTTCGAACCCATCCGTATCAATGGACAAACACAGCAGAAGGGTCTGATATACTCTTCCATCTGCAGAAACCTCAGCCCAGCACTGGGGCCCATCCTCCAGGGCTTGGGAGTTGCAGGGATGAACACAGATGCAGGTGCCATGTTTCACCTGAACCCACCTTGGGGGGAAAGCACAGTACATCATTTGTGTGCAGAGTCCTATTACCTGCAAGGCCCAGGTGTAGGAGAGCAGCCTCTTGGCTGTTTCCTACCTGAGTGCATTGCCAGCCAGGTCCTGAGTGGCATTTTCCTGACACCAGACTCCTGTTTCCTGGGACTGGAGTTTTTGGTCACATGATGGAATGTAACTTTATAAAAAAGCCTAACTTTGCACACAGGCTGAAACTGCCTCTGCCCAGCCGATGGCCAGGTGTTGGTCCTGAGAACCACTGGTCCCTCATTTCCCCAAGGGTGTTCACAGGATTGTTCTCTCTGGAGCTGGCAGTGAACACAGTAGCTGCCACCTGCATGTCCAGGAGCAAGGGCAGGTTTAGGGCACGTTGTCTCCAGCACTTGGCATTCCTAAGCACACAGTGCAGTAGGTGTTTGTGAAGAGGGCATTTTCCCAAAAGTTTGGAAGGATTTGGTTTCCCTCCATGATTAATTAAATCACTTATTTTTAAGTAGTCTTTAAATGGTTAATTTCCAATGAGGAGAAAGCAATAGGTCCAAAACCCAGAAACTTCCCCCCCCCCCCAGTACTGGAGATTGAGCCCAGGGACCCTCTACCTCTGAGTCACATCCCCAGGTCTTTTTTATTTTTTTGAGACAGCATCTCACTAAATTGCCCAGCAGGTCTTGAACTTGCCTCAGTCCCTTGAGTAGCTGCGCCACCATGCTAGAAGACATGTTCTGATTATCCCAGCTATTGCCCTTGGGCTAGCTCTGTCCATCTTTTTCTGGGGCTGGGTAAGAAGGACTGCAAGGCCTGGCTTCCTCCCACAAGGGCACCTGGAGGTTCTCAACTAGAGGGCAGCAAGACCCTGGAAGTCCTGTTGTACAGCCTCCACATCAGCTGCCTCTTGCGTTCCCTGCTTGTTTAGGGGCTCCTGTCAACCCTCTAGGTCCATTCAGCCATCCAACTCTCTAGCTGGCAGTGTGAGACTGGGCATGGACAGGCAATGAGCCCAAGAACAGGGTTCAAGTTAGGTATCCTCAGGGGACCCAGAGGCAGGCCAGAGGCTCCCTGGCTACTGTGAGGGCACCTCCCTGTTTTGCTGCTGTCTATTGTCATTTCTTTCCCTCAGTCTGCCTGCAGCTCCCACATGTGCTGCTTGCTTGTTCCTCTTGCTCTCAGAACAGCAGGGAGCATCAGGAAGAATAGAGAAGCTTCAGGGAGACAGGAATGCCACAGGCCCCCTAGCAGCCCATTGTCCTGACTCAGGACAAGTCCAGATGAACTTCTAAGAGCACGGGTCTTCCAGAAACTAGGACCATCTTAAGGCCAGCCCCATCCCTGGTCCCATCTGCTTCTCATTTTAGATGCCTGGGACTGATGAGGTGCAGATGTGGTTACTCACCACAGACTGGCTTGGACAACAGGAAATTCTCAAGACCTGGACACAGGACTGGGGGTTGGGGGGTGTTTACTTCTTTGAATTTATGTCAGATTAAAAAATCCCAGAACTCTGCACTGGAGTCGGCCATCCCCATCTTCATTGTGTGCAGAGAATGTCAGGAATTTTGTAGGGGAAGTTTGCAGCCATCTCTTAGGGTCTAGGCTCTTGCAGCAAGTCTGTATTTGGCTGGGAAGGGGCCCTGCCCTCCCCAAGGCTTGTGCACAATGACCTCAGCCCAGCAGGGAGGCCCTGTTCAGGCCTGCAAGGGGCCTTCCCAGCTGCTGTCTGCCTGGGTGGGTCTGCACTTCAGCATGCACTTTTCAGAGTCCCCCCTTGATAGAGACTGCTCCTGGGACCAGGGCAGTGTGAAACAGCCAGGCCTTTGTCATGGACAACTCTCTATGTCTCTGTCCTATCATAAGAGGCAGTGAGCACAGCCTGCCTGCCAAAGAGGAGGGGCCTTGGAGCAGACATCAGCTGACTCTGCCCACCCCACTACCTAGGCTCTGCTTGCTTAGATGGTTTTCCACTGATTAAACACAGACAGGAGCCATTTGCTTTTCAATGACAAGGCAGAGGAAAGGGAGCTACCCTGGCAAGTAGAGGCAGCAAAGAACCATAGTTCACTCTGTCCAGGTATAAGGATGCTGGGCCTCAGGAAACAGTGAAGAGTAAACAGGATGTTTAAAAGGTCATTGATATAGGAAGATAAAGAAAGGCTTGTGTCTAAATAGCATCTTGCATTTGATGAAACAGGTCCATATACTTTACCCACTCAGTTTGTACAGCAGGCCTGGGAGGGCTCTTGTCTAGCCTGTATGTGAACACAGAAGTTCTGTACAACTTGTTAGAGCTGTGTTGTGACCAGGTACTTTGAGATTCTAGACTTGAACACTGTTTCCGCATACTGTCCCTAGCTGGTATTTTTGGAACCTGTAATTGTCTTGGAGAGCTTTCATCCACCTGGTTGGTAGGTATCCCATAGGGCCTTGGGGTAGGGCCCTGAGAACCTCATAAAGGTTGACTTCGCCTGGGCCATTTAGAGACAACTGGTTTTTCTTTTTTTGTGGTGCTGGGGATGGAACCCAGGGCCTCTCACATGCTAGGCAAGTGCTGTACCATTGAGCCACACCCCATCCCAAACACCTGGCTTGCACCTGTGGCGCATCCATTCATCACCTCAGGATGGAAAAGAAAGGCAAGTCTCCTATGTATGTAAGGGAAGGAGTTTGAATCGTAAGACATTTTGCCTGCTGTCCCTTGACAACCAGGTAGTACACAGCCTCTGACACCTGGTACAGAACTGGCTGCAGCAGCAGCTCCTTCAGGGAGGAACCCTGGGCTCCAGCTACACTGTGCTGAGCAGGTGTCAGTGGCATCTGCTGCCTCACAGGTGCTGTTAGCCATTTGGATTCTGAAGCAAAAGGGTTAGGGTAGCAAGGACACTTTCCTGAGAAAGTAAACCAAAGATGCTGCCCAGCAACCTGGTCCTCCAGAGAGGTAGCACTTTGGAGCATCCCAGAAGTTGCTGACCAGTGTATGACAAGTCCCAAGAGAATTAATCAAAGGATGAACCCAGTGTTGGATAAAGGAAGGTGAACTTTCCCAGAAGTCCTGGATGAAAGGGCAGAAGAAGCCTTCCCCAGCACAGCACCGTGGCTTTATGTTGCCACATCATTCAGTGCAGCTTTTAGTCAGGCCTTACTTCTCACCCATTGGCTGCCAGGGACCTTGCTGCCAGCATACATAAGGCATGCCTGCCCTTCTGTCACTCGTTAATACATAGCTATTCAATCAACCAAAGTTCTACAGGCCCCATGCAGAGCCAAGGCAGTATTCACTGGCTTGCAGGAAAGGGCTCCTGGGTGTGCAGAGTCATAGCCACAGACCCCCACAGCAATGGCCATCCCAGTGGACAGACCCCTGCCCTGGGTGCACATGAGCTGACACCACTGGTACTTCCATCTTGAGAGCAGCTTTCACTCCATTTCTGTCCAAGTCAGGGACTCTGAGACCTAGTCACCCATTTGCCACAGAAGTACCCATAGTGGGACCAGTCCTGACCAAACTACTCTCTCAAGAAGCCCCCCTTCCGTCCTTCCACCTGGGGCAGGCCATAAGGGCCCAGAACATTCCATCTGCCAACCCTGAGTACCCTCCCTCACCAGGACAGCTGCCCTCCGAGTCTCTCTGTGCATGCTTCTGAGTCAGTGAGGCTGAGAGGGAACAGACCGGCTCTCATTGTGGTCAGGGCTGTATCTGGAGGGAGCAGCTGAAATGTGATAGGTGGACCTGGAGAGGATGCTACCACCCACATGTCCACGGGCTCCACAGCCCCCCCTCCCTCCCTGGGTTCGCTGCATACACGTCTGTATGTGCATGAGAGTACGTGTGTGCTTACATGTATGTGCATGTGTGCTGCCACACTGCCGTGGTCTTAGAATAGGAAGGCCTGAGTGTAGCAGATAATGCAGTAAGTGAACTTCTTCCCTTTGCCTTTCTTCTACTGAGTGTCCCAAATTTTCTATGGACCTCTGTGTCTGAGACCTCAGGCCCAATTTCAGATCTGAAGACAGTCCAGGCAACATCATGGACAGGTCTGAATGGTTGAGGAAGGTTGAGGCTCACAGTGACCACCCATATGAGGGACCAGGAAGTGTCTGCCACCCAGACCCCTCATCTCACTTCCCCTGCCCAGCTGATGGGAGCTGGGGCAAAGCCATTGCTGCCCTTTCTCCCCACCAGGCTCCTGACGCTGGGAGGTGGTTTATGAGAGGTTGTGCCAGGTCTCCTGCTCTGTTGCAGCAGAAGGCTCTGTCTTAGACCCAACTTGGTATGTGCTTGTGACAAAGAAGAGAAGTGCTACCGAACCAGCAGCAGAGCTGTGAAGAAGTAGGAGATGATGACCTACATAGAAGGACACCTGTTAATGGGGCCCTGTCCCCACCCCGCCCCCAAGACCTTTGGGATCAGGGATGTCACGCCATGCATGTCTGGCTGCCACCCCAGAAGCCTTGGGGCTCAGGACACATCTCACCTTCCTTCTTTTTGGGCGATGGGCAGTAGAGCCTAGTCTGCAGTCTTGCTATGCGGAGCACATGCCTGAGAGCCATGCACATTGACAGGCTGCTGAGCAAGGAAAGCTAGCAGGACCTTGTCTCCTCTGCCCACAGCGAGACTGTATGGGAGAACATGGCACGCATGTGTGTGAAGACCCAGCGGCTGGACGTTGCCAAGGTGTGCCTGGGAAACATGGGCCATGCCCGTGGGGCCCGAGCATTGCGGGAGGCTGAGCGGGAGCCAGAGCTGGAGGCTAGAGTGGCCATGCTGGCCATACAACTGGGCATGCTGGTGAGTGAACCATAGTCCTCCTGGGATGGACAGGCAGACACCACCCTGGAAGGCAAACCAAGGAAGGCTACACACCTGAGCTGAGCCTCTAATAAAGAGGGCAGAGGTTGCCCACACAGACCCTCCTCACTGGGGTTTGGACCCCCGGAGAATTGGGCAGGCTGACAGGCAGGGCAGAGGCCAGTTGCTAGATTTCTCAGGACTTTACATGGCAGACAGAGGGGAGGTGGTGGGTATACTTGTCGGGCCACATGTTCACAAATGGAAGCCCCTCAAGCTAACCTCTGGTCTTTGCCTCCTCCCTATCTGCTCTCTGTCAGAGCTCATTATACACCAGCTCTCCCAGAGCAGCCAGAAGATGGCACCCCCAGACATAGGCTAGAGCCCTGCCATAGCATCAGATGACTTGCTGCACACATGGGCAGGGGGCAGGCTGACCACCCACATGTCAGTAGTGGGGGATGACAGCACTGTGCCACAGGGCTTGCTCTTTTGCAGGAGTGCACAGGGGTTCCTCTGGGGCATGGCAAGGGCAGGAGGGCAGTAGAGCCAGTTCTTCCCTTGACAATGCTCAGGTGGGCACAAGAAAGGTGCTGGGGGTGAGCAGTGCTTGTCTCATATGTTGGCCCATGCCTTATGTCCACATGTGCAGTGTCCATCCTCCCTTAGTGTACACTGCATCTTTCTCAGGAGCCTATTGGTGGCAACTGCCGCCTGTGCCCTCCCTGTGCAGTGAGCTCCACACAGGACATAGTGACCACCACCTTATCTCCTGGAACAGTCTCTCCAGGGTGCCAGACTATGGCGGTGATAGTGCTCTCTCTTCTCCAGGAGGAGGCCGAGCAGCTGTATAAGGAGTGCCAGCGCTACGATCTCCTGAACAGGCTCTACCAGGCCTCTGGCCAGTGGCAGAACGCCGTGGCTGTGGCTGAGCTACACGACCGCATCCACCTGCGCACCACTTGCTACAACTACGCCAAGCACCTGGAGGCCAGCGCTGACCGCGGCCTGGCCCTCAGCTAGTGAGTGGGGCTGCCTGGGCCACAGCAGCTCCCAAAGGAAAGGCCTGCCTCCAGGTGGCCGGCACCCTCCTGGGGGGGACTGTCAAGGACAGCACAGGTCCCCTGTCAGTAGGAGAGCCCTAGAGACCCGGGCCACCTTCCTCACATGCTGGCCTCTATGTTCAAGGAAGATGATAAGACTGTGGTGTTAGCCACTGTGGCACAGGTGGGGCTGTACTTAGATTCTCTTCCATAATCTGGAACTTATGTGAGGAGCCCTGAGCTATGACTGGCCTCTTGAATCTACACAGCTTAGGACACTCCATTGTCCCTGAACACAGCACACAGGCCCCAGGGCTGCAGGCCAGGCACCACGCAGACCACTGCCCTGGCCTGTTTCTGACATGGCCTCTGATCATGGGGCCAAGACCAAAGGGACCAAGGTCCTCCATCTCTCCCTCCATAGCTACGAGAAGTCTGACACCCACCGTTTCGAGGTGCCCAGGATGCTCTCTGAAGACCTGCAGTCCTTGGAGCTCTACATTAATAAGATGAAGGACAAGTCAGTGTCCCAGCGGGCAGCACTCAAGTCGTCCAGCAGAGTACTGCTTAGGGGCCCTTGCTTTTTGTGGGAGTATAGGAGTGTCCTCTTGGTTCCCAGTGCTAGTCCTGGGATACAAAGACCCCTTCTGTCCCTGGGCCTCTCCCTTCTGGTCTCCTGTGGAGACCTGTTTTTCCCTAGCTGGTCTGAGTGTGGCATGGGAAAATGGTCCTACTGAGGAGAACAGGACTTAATGGAAGCCCTGTGGCCCTGGGGGCTGCTCTGTAGGACGCTGTGGAGGTGGTGGGCCCAGTACTTGGAGAGCCAGGCAGAGATGGATGCTGCCCTGCGCTACTACGAACTAGCTCAGGACTACTTCTCCCTGGTCCGCATCCACTGCTTCCAGGGCAACATCCAGAAGGTGAGTGTGTCCGGGGGGAGCTGGCCTGCTCAGGGAGTGTGAGACTACTGGGTTCTTTGGGTCTTTCTAGGCTGCCGAAATAGCCAACGAGACTGGAAACTGGGCAGCGTCTTATCACCTCGCCCGGCAGTATGAGAGTCAGGAGGAGGTGAAGCAGGCGGTGCATTTCTACACGCGGGCACAGGCCTTCAACAATGCCATCCGCCTATGCAAGGTAACAGAGAGGACAGCCTCTGGTGGCTTCTCCTGGGAAGAGGCCAGACAGTGCAGCATTGCCCTTTTCAAGGTTTTATTCTGGGTGTTTTAGCCCGGCGCGGTAGCTAAAACCACTGGGTTTTACCCCAGCAGCTCGGGAGGCTGAGGCAGGAGGCTCACAAGTTCAAAGCCAGCCTCTACCAAAGGTGAGGTGCTAAGCAACTCAGTGATTCCCTGTCTCTAAATAAAATACAAACTAGGGCTGGGGATGTGGCTTAGTGGTCAAGTGCCCAAGTTCAATCCTGGGTACTCCAAAAAATGAAAAAAAAAAAAAAAAAGTGTTTCAGTGGCAAGGGTGGAAAAAATCATGGTGCACACGCCCGTACCCTGCCACTGTTTTCCACATCCTCTTGGCTCTGCCTGGCTTCCTCCCATCTCGCTCCCTCCCTCTGATGTGGTGAAGCACTGCTGGGTGCTCTGGCATCCAGTACTCCTGAGCCAGTAGGGGGCAGGCTGAGTGTAGCCTCATGGACAGGCAGGCACCTACCTCATCAGAAGCTGTTGGACATTCTGCATCCATAAAAATGTCCCAGCCCAGGAGAGCTGGGGCTGTAGCTCAATGGTAGAGCACTCACCTGGAACACACGAGGCACTGGGTTCGAACCTCAGCACCACATAAAAATAAAATAAAGGTATTGTATCTACCTACAACTAAAAATATATATTTTAAAAAATGGGGGCTGGGGCTGAGGTTCAGCAGTAGTGCACTTGCTTAGCATGTGTAAGGCACTGGGTTCAATTCTCAGCACCAAATATAAATAAATAAATAAAGGTCTATCAACAACTAAAAAACAAAACTAAAAAATATTTTTGAATGTCCCAGCCCAGGGTCTCGCTTCTGGAAAGATCCCTCATGTCAAGTATCTTGCAGTGCTTTGTAAAATGAAACACTGCAAGTCCTGGTACACAGACCCATTGAGGCATGGTGCTGGCTGAAAATCATGATGGAGGGCTAGAAGTGCAACTGAGTACAGAGGCTTGCCTAGCACTTTATGAGGCTTTTATGGTGCTTCCAAAAAAAAAAAAAAAAAAAAGGCGGCATAAATCACCTGGCAATGCCAAACTGAATGGAAGCAGACACTCAACTGACCATATTCACAAACCTAAGTGGGTTTGAGCGTGCTAAACAGGAACTGCCCACTTAACCCTGCCCCCACCCAACAGGAGAATGGCTTGGATGACCAGCTCATGAACTTGGCCCTGTTGAGCTCTCCGGAGGACATGATTGAGGCAGCTCGTTACTATGAGGAGAAGGGCAAGCAGATGGACAGGGCAGTCATGCTGTACCACAAGGTAAAGGGTCAACCCCAGTTGGGCACCCAGGGGACCTGAGGGGGAAGGTGACAGGCTCCTGCAGAGACCAGGGTCACTTGTCTTTGCAGGGCTCCAAGAGACCCAGCTGGGTAAGGTTTGGGGTCCCCTGACCCTGAGCAGGTACTCAGAGCTCCACCACTGTCCACAGGCTGGCCACTTCTCCAAGGCCCTGGAGTTGGCCTTCACCACCCAGCAGTTTGCAGCCTTGCAACTCATAGCAGAGGACCTGGATGAGAATTCAGACCCCGCCCTCCTGGCCCGATGCTCTGACTTCTGCATTGAACACAGGCAGTTTGAGAAAGCAGTGGAACTGCTGCTGGCTGCCAAGAAGGTGCAGGATTGGTGGGTGTGGGACCCTGCCCACCAGGTGCCCAAGCTTCAGGGAGGGAATAGCTCCACTCCCTCTTGGACTGTGGCTGCTCCCTGTGCTAGAGACAAAGGGCTCTGAGAACAATAGGGCACCCTTGCCTCCTGCTTACCGTGTCTCCAGGTCAGCCAGGGAGTCAGCACGCCACATGGAGTTGCACATCTTACCTTTCATTTATTTATTTTTTGAGATAGGGTCTTGCTATCTTGCCCAGGCTGGCCTCTAACTCAGGCCCTCCTGCCTGAGTAACTGGGACTACTGGTGTGCATCACCCACCCAGTTTAGTCATTCTTTAAGGGTACAGTGCCAGAGTGCTGAGTACATTCACGTAATTACCTAACCAATCTCCATAACATTCGTGTCTTGCCCCTTGAACAACTCCTCACTCCTGTCCAACACCTGGCAATCCCTCTTCCACTTTCTGTCTTTATGGTTTTGGCTCCTCCGGGAGCTTCAGATAAATGGAATCAAACAGTATTTGTTTTTCATATCTGGCTACTGTTGGCACAGCCTCTTATCCTCTAGGTCCCAGTGCTAGGCAAGCACTCTACTTCTGAGCCACAGCCACAGCCCCTTCACTCATTTTTATTTATTTGTTTGTTGTTGTTTATTTTGTTTTATATGGTGCTGAGGATTGAACCCAGGGCCTTGCCCATCCTAGGAAAGCACTACCACTGAGCCACAACCCCAGCCCTTTCATTCATCTTTTTTAACAAAAAAAATTGCTCTCTATAGAAACCTGATGGATACATAGAAAACTGTAAATTATCCAAAATTTTAGCCTGTTCATATTGAAAGCTCTTTCTTCCTGAAGCAAGAGTTAGATGTGCAGTTTTGTTTCTTGCTACTTAGCAATAAAAGAATTCTTGCCCAAGTGAGAAGGCACATGCCATTTTCTTGGTCAGAAAGACCTGATGAATCCATGTGGAGATCTTTCTTGAGGAAGTCTGCAAGCGCTGCAGCCCCAAGGGAGGGCCAGAGGGTTTCCTAACTACAGAAGTTGACTCTGCAAGCCTCACAGTGAAAACTTGGACAAGTCAAAATAACCAGTGAAATCTGAAAAAGAAGACTAATAAGAGGCAATTGAAGCTCCCAGATTATAAGATACCACATGAGATCTAAAAGGATTGGGGTCTTGTACATGAACAAGCATCCAGATCAGGGGGAGTTTTAGAAACCCAAAAACCAGCTGGGCATAGGATTTGGGAGGCTGAGACAAGAGAATCATTCAAGACTAACCTCAGCAACTTAGTAACACAGTCTCAAAAATAAAAATGGCCGGCAACTTATCTCAGCACTTAGGGACTAAGTTCAGTCCCCAGTACCAAAAAAGAATTATCCCTAACCCTGGGTTCAGCCCCCAGTACCAAGGAAAAAAAGAAATTATAGCTGGGCACAGTAGCACATGCCTGAGACCCCAGCAGCTCTGGGGATTGAAGAGGTAGGATCATGAGTTCAAAGCCAGCCTCAGCAACTTAGTAAGGCCCCAAGCAACTCAGTGAGACCCTATCTCTAAATAAAATATAAAGAAGGGCTAGGGGTGTGGCTCAGTGGTTAGGTGCCCCTGGGTTCAATCCCCAGTACCAAAAAAGAAAATAATTATTTTTTTTTCTCCCATATCAAATATTTCATTCCAAAAAAAAAAAAAAGTATATTTTCAGAAAGCTCTAGAATGTTAATAGCATGAGCGAAAATAACATGAGTAAGCCTATGTCCTTTAGGTTGGTGTCTTTGAAGTACCCTTGTCCCTTCCTCTTATCCTTCAGCTGCAGACAGTGGTCACTGTGGAGTCACAGGGCCTGGCTTCCTCTAAGAGTGATAGATGTGAGGGCCACCCAGGCCCTCAGGCCTCCTCAGCAGCTCCAGGTAACAGCCCCTTATTTCTTTGGCGCTCTCACAGTATCATGAGGCTCTGCAGCTGTGCCTAGAACAGAATATGATCATCACTGAAGAGATGGCTGAGAAGATGACTGTGTCCAAGGACTCTAAGGACCTGTCTGAGGAGTCCCGGCGTGAGCTGCTGGAGCAGATAGCCAACTGCTGCATGCGTCAGGGCAACTACCACCTGGCCACCAAGAAGTATACACAGGCCGGGAGCAAGCTGAAGGTGAGGCCAGCTGGGCCACTGCTGTGCCTTTGGCATGGTTCTCCATTCTCTGGTTTTCCCAAGCAGGGGATGAGCTTTTCTGGCCAGGGCTTTGAAGGAGTCCTTTGGGGATCATGATATGTAAGGCCTATTACCTGTCCTACGTCCAACACGAAGCTCATCCTCTGGTTAGCAGCAAATGGAAACGGCCAGCCCCGATCACCTGAACCCTGGTCTTCCTCTGCCTAGGCCATGAGAGCACTGCTCAAGTCTGGAGACACGGAGAAGATCGTGTTCTTTGCAGGCGTCTCCAGGCAGAAGGAAATCTACATCATGGCTGCCAACTATCTGCAGTCCCTGGACTGGCGGAAGGAGCCGGAGATAATGAAGAATATCATCAGCTTCTATACAAAGGGGCGGGCCCTGGACCTCCTAGCTGGCTTCTATGATGCCTGTGCCCAGGTACAGATCCTCCTGGGATCCCCCCAGGTTTAGGGAGGGTTGGGGAGTCCCTGGTCCTGACACATCTCCTCATGCAGGTGGAGATTGATGAGTACCAGAACTACGAGAAGGCCCACGGGGCACTGACTGAGGCCTACAAGTGCCTATCCAAGGCCAAGGCCAAGAGCCCTCTGGACCAGGAGACCAAGTTGGCCCAGCTGCAGAGCAAGATGGCATTGGTGAAGAGGTTCATCCAGGCCCGCAGGTGTGTCCCCACAGGAAATGGGGCAGGAAACACAAACAGCTGGCCCTGAAGCCTCATGTGCCATGTGCTCTTGGTTTGTACCCCATGACTTTTTTTTTTTAATACCAGTGATTGAACCCAGAGGCACTCAACCACTGAGCCACATCCCCAAGCCTTTTTATTTTTGAGACAGGGTCTTGCTAAGTTGTTGAGGCTGGCCTTGGATTTGCACTCCTTCTGCCTCAGCCTCCTAAGCCACTGGGATTCTAGGCATGCACCAGCACACCCAGCTGCAACCCATGACTTGCCTACCACCTTTACAGGGAGAGTTTGGACTGACTGCAAAAAATCAGACCAGACCAAGCTTTTGTTTCTGATATACCCTTAGAGGAGTTCCGCTGAGCTCCTCTAGGAGGCCCCCTCAGAGCTGGGCACTACCTTGGGAAGGCTGCTCCAAAAACCATCAGAGCTGGGCACAGTGGCCACGCCTGTAATCCCAGCAGCTTGGGAGGCTGAGGCAGGAGAATCAGCAACTTAGTAAGCACCCCATGGTTAAGTATCCTTGGGTTCAATCCCTAGACACACAGGTCTGGTCTGGTCAAGAAAAGGTGTGTCCCAGGGAGCCCTGGTCAGGGAATGCAGCCACCCTGGTGGGGTTATGCTGAGGGAGGGGCGGTTGTGCTGCACAAGGTAGTCCTGTTAAGTGGAGAGGAGGTCCAGGCAGGCAGCACATAGGGTCTAAGTATTTGGTGGATCGCCTTAGTTTTTATCTCTTGGTAATTGAACTTTTCAGACTCACTCTGCCACCATGTAAACAAACATCTGTGTGCTCCCAGGGCTCAGCTTTTGCCCGCACTAAGCAGACTCCTCGGAGGTTGATGCCTGTGTGGCCTTATGACCTAGGTCTCTGACCTAAGTCTCCCAACCTGGGCTGCAGGGGTCAGGAGTGAAGGATGGGTAAGATGTAGTCTTAGCCACAGGACGGGGTATGTATGAATGAAGAGGAAATGAATAGGGGGTGGGAGTAGCCTGTTGGGGCTCAGCTGTCCATAGTGGTACACCGGGACAGTCAGCATGGCTGGAAGGATCCTGGACCCTAATGGCTGCAGTTGCCTGCCCTGAACCAGGTTACATCCTGCAAGGTCCCCTCCCTGGTCTCTGCCAACCTATGTTTAAGCCAACCCTTCTGCCTTAGGCAAGGTGGCACATCCCCTGCCACCCCCCTTCCATGTGACACTAAGCAACCCCCACATCAGTTGTAGCCTAGAAGCTTCTGTCCCCTCTAGATTCTAGGGCAGCAAGAGGATTACAAGCCCCTGATCTTGGTGTCCAACCATAGGACACCACACACTTGTGAGCAGGGAGTACTGAACTTAAGAACAACTTAAAGAATTAATGAACTTAATTCACAGAAATTACCTTCACAAAAAATTCGCCCCCCCCACCATTCCCAGAGCTACTACTATAGGACATATACTGAACTGCCCCCTGGCACACAGCAGATTCTGGGTTCAGGACTCAGGCATCCCCTTTCTCTGAGCAGGACCTACACGGAGGACCCCCAGGAGTCCATCAGGCAGTGTGAGCTGCTCCTGGAGGAGCCCGACCTAGACAGCACTGTCCGCATTGGGGACGTCTGCAGCTTCCTGGTGGAACACTACGTGCAGGGGGAGGAGTTCCAGATGGTAAGGCACCCAGGTTCTGGTGCTCAACTCAGAAGTGGTTTTCAGTCTTTATCATGGGCAGTGGGGACTGAACCCGGGGCCTTATGCACTTTAGGTACACACTCTACCACTGAGCTACTGCCTCAGCTCACAAGATGAGAATTGTAACCCAGGGCCTTGCACATGCTGTGCAAGCATTCTACCACTAGGTAACATCCTCAGCCCTTCTATTTTTTGAGACTGGCCTTGAACTTGTGATCCTCCTGCCTCAGCCTTCCAAGTACCTGGATCAGAGGTGTGCATCATTGGGCCCAGCTTTGTTCATTCTTGAGGAAGTTGTCAACAACACACCCACATGTGAACCAGCACTTGTTGACCACAACTTGTCATTGGTCCTCACTGAGCCATGCTGGGCATCTTCTCGTGTACTTCTCAATTCGTGGTCACTGTACTTCGTTCTTGCCTTATTGTTGAGTCACCTTCTCTTCTAGATACGTTTCCTTTATCAAACACACCTTTTTGTAAGTCTGTTCCTTCTCTCCTCTGCTCTAGCCACTTGGGCCTACTGTCCTCTGGCTCTACTCACTCTTCTGTCCACTCACCCCCCAGTATTCTCCGTGTTTCATTCTGGGAAGTTGCTATTGCTCCGGCTTCATCATCTCTCCTTCTGTCATGTCCACCAATGTTAATCCCACCTAAACTTTTCATCTCAGACATTATTTTCATCCCAACAGTCTAATCTTCAACTGAATAAGCACGCCCACTGGACCTGGCTGTGCAACCTCTACTCTAGGCTCTTGCAGCTCCTCACTCTTCTCTCCTCTTGTGTTGGTTGAGTCCTGCTGTGGCCAGGCTCTACTCCCACCCCATTCACCTGTCCCACACACCCAGCATGGCTCCTGATGTATGTAAGATGGTTTGTGAACACCCAGGAGAATACTCTTCCATTGCACTGGGCTGCCTCCCACCCCTAGCAAGTCTCTACATATAAGCTGATTGCATGAGAGTGTCAGTGACCCTTCCAGAAAGCAGATTTTACCTTTACTTGCATGATCTTCATATTCTTCTCTGTGCTTACTAGCTTTATCTATCCAAAATAAAATTGTTCCAAGTATTTCACCATCTTTAAGCCGTAAATACTAAGGTCAAATTGTTATTTCTCATTAACAATTTAAAAGCTGCTAAAAAAATTTTGGTCACATTCTGAATTCATGTGCCCCATGGGAGTGAGCCCTAGAAGCAGCATAAAGCCCCATATATCCTCCCCCATTTGTATGTGTCCCTCCCTGAGGATGAAGAGACCTTAAGCATAGTGCTCTGAGGCTAAGGCCCATCCTGCCTTGGCCCTGGAGCTCCATCATGAGTGTCACCACTGTGCCCTTCTACATGTCCCCCTGGCAAGACCAGATGAAATCACACAGGAAACCCATTGACATTTCCAGTTTACAGGCCTAGGATCAAGGACCATTCACACAGGAGATACAATAGAATTGGGATAAATTTTATACTAAGCTGAAATAAACAATGCCTGCCCTTCATTCCAGCAAGTACATGTGCTACAGTAGACGGAAATGGAATCCACCCTCCCGCAGCAGGTCCACTACCATCCAGGGAGCAGTTTTAGAGGGAATACAATTCTGGAACTTGAACCACATTCTTGCTCTGGGTTGCCAGAGGACTCTCTGGGGTTCAGGTTTTCAGTTGTTCATACTGGCCACAGCCTGAAACATACCTTGCCCTGAGACACATGTCCCCTTATAAATACCAGAAACCTCAGAAGGCATGCTTCCCTGCTTACAACCCCTGGGACAGAGTGGGTACTTCATATTGAGGTGACCTTATTACAGTGAACAGACAAGATGGCTCCCTTGGCTCTCATATGCTGAGGTGTCCACTGGGCCTTTAAGAAACAGCTGTTCCCTCTGCCCTAGGCCTACAGGTACCTCGAGGAGATGCGCAAGAGACTTCCTTCTGCCAACATGTCCTACTACGTGGACCAGCAGACAGTGGATGCCGTGCATCAGGGCCTGGGACTCCCTCTGACACGTGTGGTGCCTGAGCGGATCCGCCACAACAGCATCGAGGACCACGATGAGGTGGTAGAGGAGGTAGAGAACGGCCCCTGATGGGCCTTGGCCATTGTCCTGCTGCTGAGATCTGCTTCTGGAATTTCCAGTCTCTAGTCATCTCTTTTTTGTAGGGGGAAAAAAAACTTGTTCATATCATAACAAGTAAGCAGGGCCCAGCCCACAGTGTGCAGAGGACTGCCTGTATCCCTAAGTCTTCCCTTGGTGTTCCTGCCTCAGGGCACTTGGCAGCTTCGGTGGTGTTTTAGTTTAATTCCTTTTAAAGGAGCTGGATTCAGCTTTCCCAGGTTCTCCCGACTACCAGTTGTGGAGTGGAAGGAACTTGTAGAACTTGGTGCACTGAGGCTGCACCTGGGTCTTGGAGATGCCCATCACTGCTAATCACACCCACACCCAGATGGCTCCAGGATGATTCAGCAGGGACCACTGTGGCCAGGCCCAAGTCCTGTCGGTCACACCTACCACCAGATGTTGACATTCCTACAACTCCAATAAAGCCTACTTTCTCAGAGGCCTAGGCCCCTTCCACCCCTCTTTGCCTCACACTGCACTCCAGTTTCATGGTTGCATCTCATAGTCCTCTAGGAACTGAAGTCCCTGCTCACTGATAACCACAAAGATGACTTGTGATACCTCCTGCCCTATTTATTCTCCTGGGACAGCACTGAGCCACAGGGCCAAGGGCCAAGCCTGCTCTGCTATGGGCTCTGAGCAGCTGCTTCCTTCCTGCTTCTGGCATTCCCTGACCACAGGGCCCACTGGGAGCTGCAGGCCAGCACTTGGGTTGCTCTGCCTGTGGGGGCCAGGGCGAGGCCCTCCATATTTTTAGCTGAACACACCCTTCCTACATGCATGCACTGGAACCAGATGGCCCTCCAGACCTGGTCAAACTGCAAACTCAAATGTTACAGGGGTCCACTCTTTGAAGCCTTCCTCCCACCCAGCAGGAATGCCTAGGGTCCATCAGGGACTAGGAGGGAAGGGAGAGGAGTCTGTCTCTGAGTCGCTCCAGAAGCAGCAGCGCTCTCACGGCCAGCTCCCTGCAGTTCTCATCAACATCTTTCTCAGCCACATCTGCCAGGTAAAAACAATACAAGTACATTGCAGGGCCAGTCATTCCTATTCCCAACAACCTACCTCACTCACCTGGCAAAGGGCTCTCTACCATGGGACAGGTGATGGAGACACCTCCACTGGGAGCGAGGGATCCTGGCCACAGTCCAGTCACATAGCTCAGCTATCCTGAGCACCAACCTGGGTTAAAACCAGCCTGAGGAGATGAGCCCTGAGCTCCTGCAGTTCTTCCAGACTGCATGTGAGGAGACAGAGCCGGTGCTTCCACCCTACCAGGACTGACAGAGAGAGAGGGGCCAGGTCCTGAATAGAAGCCTGGGACTTTCCCAAAGGACAAAGGAGGCAGGGGTTCTGGGCATCCCTCACTTCCCTTCAAGGGAGATAAAGCCCTCTGCTTCTCTGAGACACAAGCTCTGGTGGTAAGCCGTGCTCCTGGGACCTGGCACCCCAAGCCCAGGTGCTGGGGAGAGGTCAGATGATGGCTGACCCTCTCCACAGCCACCAAGCCTGCTCTTGGCTCTTCCTGGCACCCAGTGATTCATTTGTTCCACTTCCTGTGGACAATGCCCATTCAAACTAGGACTGTGCCATGGCAGGAGCTAGGCAGGGAAGAAGCCCACAGCTAGGATGGAACAGACACCAATAAAGTCCTTGCTATCACCAGTGGGAAGGCAGTCTTCCTACAATGATCCTCAGCAGAGTCGGGCACCTGCAGCATGTAAAGAGGGACCCTGCCTGGCCCAGATGCCTGACAAGCAGGTGGAACTTGGGCCTAATGAGGGGGGCCTTCCACATGGCTTCAGCAGGATAAGCACAGTAACAGAAGATACCCAGCCAGAAGCCCAAGAGGCAGGGCAGCTATGAGTCATGTGGGAACCTCAGCTGGACCCTGTATTGGGGTCAAATGGAAAGAAAAAGACATCACAGAGCATCCCAGGGCAGCTGGAGGGCCTGTCCATGGGTTCAGCTCAGGAGCCTGGGGTGTGTTCAGTGTCTGGAGCTGGGAGGAAGGGACAAAGCACGGCAGATACTACACCTCTAAGTCTGGGTACAGGCTCCCAGCACTTCCACTAGCCTTCTATCAGGAACCTCAGTGGATTCCCCAAAGCAACCACAGTCATGACTGTCCTCTCCCCCTTGTGCCCCATGCTAGGTTAACCATATTTCTCAGCACAACAGGGAGGGACATGCCCACTCATGAGCTGGGTTGCTCCAGCCTTCTCACATGCCCAGATGTCCTGCCTGCTTGGCCGCTACAGCCAGGGCTACTCACCTGCCAGCCAGGACCTGGTTTCCAGCAGCTCATCTGGCAGGTCCTCTAGTAATCGCTCTGCAGGTACGCTGAGGAGGACAGAGGAGACCGCAGAAAGCAAGCCCCGGCGCACGTAGCTACCAAGCAAGAAGGCAGAGAAGGTGAGGTGCAACTCTGTGGCCAGAGCCCCTAAACAGCACTGCCAGAACTGCAGGGACACTTCCCTGAGTCCAGCAGATCAATCCGCAACACTGCGCATTGGGCCTGGTCAGGCTACCTCCTACCACATAGCCCACACCTTGCTGCCAGAGACTCCATGCCCACAGCCCACAGCCCACTCACGTGTCCACATGGAAGCGAAGGGCCCACACAAATTCCAGCAGGGCCTTACCCATGCGTACAGCCACCTGAAAACCAGCAGAAGTATGGGTACCATGTTCAGCATGCCACTCCCCTTACCCAGCACCCAAAAGACACACATCTCACACATCTGATGCCTCTGTGCAGCTTCACACAGGCCTGTCCTCAGGGCCATGGTAAAGGGAGAATGTCAGGTACGCAGTGCTCCAGGCTCGTGACCGTGGCCATCACCCCCTCCCACACGTAGGGCCACACAGCACTTGTGCCATCAATGCGAACACTTGGGTGAAGCCCACACTCTGCAGCGGTGAACAAGATGTGGCAGGACCTGAAATTCCCACTTTCCAACTCACTGTGGTGTTGACTGCCAGATACATCAAGGCCCCCAAAGTATGGGTCAATCTTCCAAGAACCAACTGGTCATCTCCCAAAAGGTCAAAGGTCACTAGAGGCCTGCAACACAGAATCCAGTAGTGGCAGAGCCATGGCACCTCAAGGCTGGCTGTCTAGCCCCAGGGATACAGAGGGAGAGCCTGGGTCCAGAGGCTCTGCAGAGCCTTCTTGCTCTAGTCACCACCTAACCCCACGAGGCTTCAGTAGAGCCAGGGAGAAGGTGTTCCCAGAGGCCCAGCACATATGCTGGGCTCAGTGAGAAAGAAGCACAGCTTCTCCACTCTTGCCTGAGGGCCACACCTGATGGTGGGTGGGAGCTCAGTGCTGGCCAAGGCAGAAGGAGGTGAGCAAGTAGCAGTCGGGGTGGAAAGCATGCAGGGTACTACCAGTCCATCCATAACCCTGAGACCAGGAGTGGACGGACATAGCAGTGACTGACACACTGCAAAGCTTAATGGCAGAGGGACGCTTCCAGAAAACTTCACATTAACTTAAGAACAACCAAACATGTTCCTGCCCAAAGTCCCACTCAGGCCCCATGCTGTGATGCTTTCTCCAGCCAGCGAGTGTGTCCAGACGGCAGAAATCCACTCACCTGTCAAAATGATGAATGAGGGGGAAAAAGAAACAGCCAGCCACGGAGGCAAATTCATTGGGGCCACCTGCTGGCTCCTGCCAGGGAGAGCCCTGCCAAACACAAGCACAACACCCCAACCTGCATGAGGTGCCTGGCCTCATGTCCCAACCCTGTGTGTAATACATTCAGAGCTGGACAGGCCTCATGGTACAGCAACCCTTGGGCACTGGGATGTAAGCTTCCTGGCCTCCACCCCCACCACCCCATGACAGTTTCTCATCACCAGACATCCCAGGGAAAGCAGGGCCAACCCTGGGTGAAAACCCCTCAGGATTCTGCATTTGTATTCATGTGTTAAATCCACACTGGTCTGACTACCTTTGATCTGTACCATAAACTCACTTCAAGGAGCACCAGTGTTAGTGCCATCCCTGCCCTAGGCTCCTGCCACCCCCTTGGCACAGATAACACTGGAGGAATGTAATTGCTTATCCTACCACCCAGAGTGCCCTTTCCCTATAAGGACCTGACCAAAGCCCTAACTGACCTTGGAGAAGTGCCGGGTCTTGCTTCTGATCCGATTTTCTACCACCACCCTCCAGTCAGGAACCATGACACTGCCAGACTGAGAGGCAGTCAGTGTTGGTGAGCACTGGGTGCTGGGACCCACGGAACTGTGTTGGGGAGACCGCCCAAGGCGCCCTGGCCGAGACAGCTCCTGGGCAGCCAGAGTCAGGACCTAGAGGAGAGGAGCAACCAGGGGAGTGCTGTGGCTCTGGGGAAGGACAGTCTTTAAGCCCCACAGAGCCCCAGACCAGCAACAGTACCCAGCAGCCCTCACAGTCTTTTGACAAGGCAGGTGTTCTGGAAGCCACAGAGAAAGTCATCTCTAGTGCTAGTGGGTCTCTGTGCCTTGCTGGGAGGGCAGGCAAGAAGGTGAGGCACCCCAACCCAACCGCCACCTCTCCCTGAGGCTCCCTGGCCTCCACACAGAGCCACTCCTCTGGAGAAGGCAGCCTTAAAGGATGACCAAAAGCATGCTCAGCAAGCAAGCCAGTCTCAGGAGAGCAGACTCGCTGCTACTGCTGCTGCTGCATAAACGGAACACCCACAACAGGCAGAGCCTCGGGATGAGGGTGACGGCCCACGCTGCCTGTGTAGTCATCTCTCGGCTATTCTATGATGTTAAGAGACCATGCTCCTCACTAAGCACTAGGAGCCCAGCCCTGCTCTGAGGCCACCATTCCTGACAGTCCTGCCACAGGCAGTCCTTCACCAAGGGCCTAGCAGGCATCAAGCTCCTCCCACACATCTCATGCACTGGTTCATTCTTTTTCATAGTTGGATGATACTCAGCCATGGGGACACCATATTTTGTTTATATTTAAGTGGTGCATTTTGTTATTTAAAACAAAGGAACTCAGCTGCCAGAGATCCTGGTCCCCACAGTGGTGAACCTGCATACTTGGCTACACTCAAACAGGAGACAAAAGTTACCTGGCCTTCTCAGATCAACAAAGTGACTTGGGGAGGCTTTGGTCACTGTCCACATAGGTTTTCACCTCCCCACAGTAGGGCAGCTTGGAACTGACTACAGGGAGAGGGATCCAGAGGCACTCACATCCAGGATGTCCATGCGCTGCCGGAGGCTGTAGTTCAGGGCATAGAACTGTGAGGTCAGGTGCTCAGCTACCTAAGCCATGCAGAGAGAGGCCAATGAGGGCCAGCCCAGGCCATAGACACACTTTCCAGGCACCAGTCAACCCTGCATGAGGTCAGTTACTCAACTGCCTGAGCCAGGCAGAGAAGTCACTGAGGACCAGGCCACAGGGCACACCCTCTAGACACCACACCCAACCTAGTAAAGAGAGCTGTCAGAGTGCTCCCCACTGTGGGGCCACCCACACTGGGACTTACCTGGGCTGGGTCTGTGACTGTAACAGCCACCAGGGCTCTCTGGCGCAGTTCCTCAAATCCCGCCACACAGGTCCTCTCCTCCAGGTGCAACAGTACCCTGGCCAGCTCCACACTCACCTACATGAGGGCTGCAGTCAGTATGTTACATGCACCTCAGAGCCTGGGCCACCCACCTGTTGCCCACCTAGCAGAGGCTCCAGGTCTCCCGGAGACGCGCAGCAGCCAGCAAGATGTCCCCACTCTCCATGACCCAGGATGCAGATGGCACAAGAAGAGCTGCCATCGTAGGGGACCTGCCACCAGAGTACTTAGCAACCTCCTCCTTTGCTCTAACACCCTCTTCTTGCTCACCTCCCGTGTGGCCTCAGGGTTCCTGCGGACTAGGCCTTCCAGGGCCTTCAGGGCGGCCTCCCAGCGCTCCATATCCTTATCCTCAAATGTGGTCAGTGCTACACAGAACACAGAAGGCCTCAGTCATCTCAGCCCCAACCCTGAACAACCCTGATGGACCCAGCGTGTCGGGGCAGGGTGGGAAGACTTCAGAGGAAATAGCTGTGAGGTGAGACCTGCGGTGTGACCCCACCAAGGCTCACCTTCCATGCAGTCCCGCACATACTGAGGTGCCTTGCTGCTCTTCAGCTCTTTGTCCCCTGACATGTCATAGGGGATGAAATCATCGTCACTGTAAATGAGACAAAATAGACAATGGAACTGCCCATTCTTAGTGAGAAAACTCAGACTCCGGAGGCACTTATGTACCCCTCCTCAAGGGCAAGTCCTGAAAATGCTGAAACTCATTCCCCAAGTCCCCAGAGCCTTGAAAAGCCACAGCACTGCTGCAGACCAGAAGGAGGCATTGGGGGTGGGCACAGCCATCCCACAGTGTGCACCCCACTGTGCTGGTGACCTGCACAGCTCAGCTCTGCTGTGCAGCCAGTGCCACCCCTCAAGCACAGAAGCCCAGCCCTACCTGTCCAGCTCCGAGTCAGAGCCCTGCAGCTGAGCTGGGGGCACACTACCCTCCATGGTCTCTGCAGGGGTCTCTGCCACAACTGGATCCAGTGATGAGCTTCTGGGAAGCAAGAGGAACAAGCATTCAGGATTGCCTGTGGGGACACTCCCAGCACCTCCACCCACTGCTTCCCTAACTCCTGTCCTGTGAATGGAATCCAGAATGACAAGGTGTGCAGACACACAGGGTGGGGATGAGGGATGTGAAGACCCTCACCTTGCCTCCAAGGGGCTGTCTCCCACAGGCCGGGGAGTGGCCAAGGCCAGCATCTCACGGCTCAGCTCATCGTCTTCATACTGTAAATACAAAACATACCAGTCATTGACACCCACCAGGCTTCAGACACCACTTCACTGCAGTCAGACACAGTTGGAGCCAAGCCTCCTCTAAAAACATCTGGATCCTGTTTAGTAGCCTGTCCTTTTCTAGAGCAAATTCCAAGTGTGCACCCTGACCTGAGGGTGGTACTCAGTGTGCCAAGGCTACAGAGTCACTTCCTCATGAAGGAACTGGGGCTCCCCAGGAGGCTGATCCCCTGAAGACATCCCAGGGAGGAGGGGATGTCTGCATAAGGCCGGGCAGGGCCCAGCAGTCAGAAAAACATGCTGGCCACACAAGTGGCATTCACACCAGGAAGCAGGCAGCAGAGAGGCCAGTCACTGTTCTGCCTGCCCAGAGCAGCCTGTGGCAGACCAGCCCCAGGGCAACAGCTTCCCTCACCCCAACCTCTCTGGAGTTCCACCTCCAGGGATTGTGTCCTGAGGAACACATGCTGGTGCGTTCAGCCCTAATCTTTGTGATCACCAGGAGCTGAGGTTGACACCCACCAATGTGGGACACTCCATGGGCCTGGGCCCCAGGAGGGGAGGTACCTACTGAACTGGAGTAACAGGGAGATCTGGAGCCTGTTCACCTGGAATCTCAATGGAGGCCCCTCAGGGTGGATCCGGGTGCTGATGACCTCGGCCACGATCATGCCTAGGCGGCGCACGGCAGGCAGGCTGCTGTCCAGGCGGCACTTCACACCTGCCATCATGCTGGCCAGCAACTCTGGAAGCACCAAACATGCATCCTGAGGGGTTCTCACATGCCTGGGGCGGGGGTGTGCCCTCACCACCTGCTCACCTTCCCGGCTGTCCCGCAGCTCTGGCTCCCCAAGGTGTGCCAGGCAGATGAGCACCGCCATGCTGACATAGCGCTGCTGAGCCAGGGGCGTGTGTCGGACAGCACTGCTGCTGCCCCAGGTCTCCAGCAGCTCCTTTAGCGCCTACAGGCAGCACAGCACCAGCCTGTCAGGCAGCAGTTCTGCCATGGCCTAGGATCATGTGGTGCTAGTATCCACAGCCACCCCAAAGGCTCCAACAGGAGCAAAGTGGGACCCCCAGCCTTCCCTTCTCTTCCCTTGTCTTGGGGTCACCACAGGGTCAGAGGCAGGTAGCACTTACCTGTATGAGGAATGGACGCCGCTGGCTGTCCATGGCCAGGTACCCCAGCAGGCTCTGCAGCATGGGTGTCTACAATGAGAGTGGTGTCCTTAATGAGGCAGAAGCTGCCTTTCTGCATGAGGCTCCTGAGGGTGAGCGTGTCATGCTCAGGAGTCCAGGCTGAGGACTAGTATGGTAAGTGCCGCCCTCCACCTCCTACTGCTCCTCAGTACCCTCTGCTTCTGCATTTGTCAGTTTTGTTTTTGTTTTTTCCTCAGTGCTAGAAATCAAACCCAGGGCTTCAAGCACTCTAGTAAATTGCTCTCCTGCTGGGCCATACCCCAGCACAGCACTCGTCAGCTTGGGCACATACACTTTTCTAAGGAAATTTTCTATCTCATCCGTGTTTGAAAACCAGTCGCCATCAAGCTGCTACATTTCAAAGGTCCTGGATTTTTCTGCTCAGCCCAGGTGCAACTTCCACCTCAGCACTGCCTGCTCTGTTGTTCAGCTTTCTCTTTGTTCTTTGTTTTCTTCTCTTTTGAAAGCTCTCTTGCTGAGCTACATCCCTAGTCCTTTTACTTTTTATTTTGAGACAGGGCCTCACTAGGGCTTGGGTCACTTTATCTAGCACTATGCTGTAGCACTGTTATTCTCTATTGCTACTCACTTCTGGTCCAGCAGCCCCATCACCTGGAATGACAGCCAGATGTTCACGCCAGTATTTGGGTTTATCCCATTGGTTGGCTATATTCTGGGGGCCTCAAATGCCCTATAGGACAGGGATTGGGGGCCGTCTCTGGCTCTCTGTTTGTCTGGACTGCACTGTCCGCCTGCCTCTCTGAACCCCACCAAGGGCATGAAGCCAGGGTTCAAGAGGCTGCCAGGCCTCCTGATCCAGGCTGCTGAACCTGCGTCATCTTTAGAGCTCTGAAGGACTCCTGCCTACTTCACCCCCATGCACCCAGGGCGAGTTGGCTCTACCTCCACTTTGGCCCCCATCTATCCTCTGCACAGAGGCCAGGGTAGGTCTGGGTAACACAGTCAGGTCTGGATGCCTCTGCTTAAACCTCAGCTGCCCACCCCAACCTGAAGCAGCCCACCCTTGCCACACCTCCTGCTCTCTGGGGCACAGGGCCCACTGCCAGCCGGCTTGCTGGGACCAGTGTTCAGAAGCCAGCCACACAGTCCTCCTGGCCAGACCTCTATCAGGACCATGGCTCTGTACCTGCCAGATCCCCTCAGAGAGGTCTTTGCGGAGCCCTGCAGCACTGAGGCTGCCTCCTAGATCCCACAGTGCCAAATGTGCCATGCTATGAATTACATACCATGGTTTATGTAGGTAGCACTGTCTCCCTGTCTATAAAGTGAGTTCCTCAAGGAGAGACTACGGCTCTTCTGTCCACCTGGGACAGAGCTAGGCACACTGTGGGCATCAATGCACTGCTGGTCCCTCCTCAGGCCAAGACATCTGCTCTTGCTCTCCCCTGCCCAACCACCACAGCCCTCACAGCCTACACTCCAGGCCACAGGGACAGCTGCACCGTGTCTGGGAAGCACTCAGCAACCAAGTCCCAAGGCACTAACCCCCTTGGGCTTGCTCGGTGTTGTGCAGCAGGGCCTGCAGCCGGGCAGGGCAGTGCTGCTGCTTCACTGACAATTCCCAGGTGACTGCTCTACCTGTTTTCTGTGGCTGGGAATCAAATCCAGGGCTTTGTGCATGCTGGGTACACATTCTTCCACTGAGTTAGCCTCTACTTTTAATAGTGATTCTTCTTGTAACCAAGGGTGGCCTTCACAAGCCCTGCCCTACATTCTCACCGTGCACCGGTACTGCATGAACAGAAGCTTCCGGGTCATCACAAACTGGGCTTTCTTATTCTTCAGCACCAGATTCCCCAGTAGTCGTGACAGGACCTCAGGCCTATAAGGCAGGGTCAGAAGAAGCCAGTCATGAGTGCCTAGGAGGTGGGTGGCAGGCTGGGAAAGCACACCCTCTGATGGCACCAACAGCCTGGCCCTGACACTTGCTCACTGTGGGCCTTGGATAACCTCAATGGGTCCTTAACTTCCCCCCCCCCAGGCCTGAATGTAGAGACTGGGTCCCACTCCTGAGCTAAGAGGGTCAACATAGGAGGGAGTCCCTCCCTGCTCTGCCAGGTCCAGGGTGCATACTTCATCTAGGGCAGGGCAGCAAGCCTTTGCTGCACAGGGCCAGAGGGCACATGCTTTAAGATTCATAGGCCAGTCTCTATACCAAACATTCAACATGGCAGTTGTGACTGAAAGCAGCCACAGGCAAATATTTAAATGAGTTAGTATGGCTGCATGCCAATAAAATTGTGTGAGTGTGCACGCAAGAGAAAAAGATCCTCCTGCCTCAGCCTTCCAAATAGCTGGGATTACAGGCACACAGCACCACGGTGGGCGCCAGTAAAATTTTATTTACAAAAAACACCAAATGAGCCAGATATGACCCAAGAACAATAGTGTGCAAGCATCAGATCTAGAGTATGGGACCCTGCTTCCTTCAGCAAGCAAAAGCCCAACAAGCCCCCAGCCAGTATGGAGAGACAGGCTGGATTTCACCCTCACTCATCACATAAAATTCCACACATAGACATAAAATCTGGAAAGAAAAAGAAGAGGGGGGTACAACAAAAACAAAAAAGGTTAAGCTGGAGACAAGCCAGATACCAGAGAAGGTTCCAAAGACCGAGCAAGACCCCCACTGAAGCATCCGTGACAGCAGCAATGCATCTTCACCATCCTAAGCCCAACAGCTCACAGGAAAGAGCCCAGAACCTGCAGGGGAACTTCCACAACATATACCAGGAACCAAACATGCAGATGGTGAAGGACGCAGGGAAGGAGTCCACACATCTGGAATCAAAGACCACAAAACCTACTCTCCCCTGCCCAACCACCACAGCCCTGGGGCAGACCTGGGAAGCAGGTGAGGGCAAGGTGTGTGAGCATCCCTTGGGCCCAACAAGGCTGCTTTCAAGAGTGCCAGCTGCCACACACACACACACACACACACACACACACACACACACACACGAGAGGAAGGAGCAAAAGGGCATCGCCACACCCAAGTCAGAGACGACACCCAGAGCACAAAACCACATGCAAGGAATGGAGAGTCAGGGGTGAGGCAGGAGGAGTGAGCTACAGTACAGGGCAACACCATGACAGAAGGACAACACACACAGTGTGCAGGGCGACGAAACATCTGCGGGCTGCTTCTCACACAGTCCTCCTGTCCAATAGGGCTTGGGAGAACACCTACACTGTTTTCACGAGAAAGAAACAGGATCCCTAAGTCTGAAAAGAGCTGCTGCCTCAGCAGAGATTATGGTTCCCCCAGCGTGTGGACTTGGGGAACCCGCTGGGCAGGAGACCTTCTGTACTAAGCGGTGGACACATGTGGAGGCTCCACTAGCAATGATGAAGGTGGGCACCATCAGTGTGTGCATTTGCACAACCAGTGGCCAGCCTAAATCAGCAATACTAAGGCAGCACTAGCCACCGAACCCAGGGAGTACAACAGGACAACCGGCTACAGCAGGGCCACCAGGAAAAGCAGCACAGGGAATGGCAGCTGTCACAAAGCCCACTCCCCACCCCCCACCCCCAGAGATGCACTGACTGGAAAGAGTGCTGTGCTGCTTACCCCGGAGTGGCCTCCACCAACCCTGTGAGCACAGCCTCCATGGCCCTGTCCGGCACTTGCTCCACTAGGCGCCAGCAGACCCGCTGCCACAAGCAGCTGCCCTGGGTGCGTGCTGTCAGTTGGGGCACCAACCTGCCCAAGATCTCCTCTGAGGAGACAGAGAGAGGACATGAGCCTCAGGAGCTGCACTCAGCCAGGGGACCACTGGTCCAGTGTACACAGCACCATGGCTCACCAGCCAGCACAACTGAGCCCCAGAGCTCTGAGCCCTCAGTGAACCCAGGGCTAGCAAGGGGACCCCCCAGAGCACAACTGAGCCCCAGAGCCAACCTCAGTGGACCCAGGGTTAGCAAGAGGACCCCCCCCCCAGAGCACAACTGAGCCCCAGAGCCAATCTCAGTGGAGCCAGGGTTAGCAAGGGGACCCTCCCCCCAGAGCACAACTGAGCCCCAGAGCCAACCTCAGTGGACCTAGGGCTAGCAAGGGGACCCTCCAGAACACAACTGAGCCCCAGAGCCAACCTCAGTGGACCTAGGGCTAGCAAAGGAACCCCCCACAGCACAACTAAGCCCTAAGACAAACCTCTGTGGACCCAGAGCTAGCATAGAGACCCCAAAGAAGGCTGGGACCAGCTCCCACTGCTGCTGAGGGGCTTGCAGTGATTCTCAACCTCTCCCAAGGGCTGAATGGGAGAGACAGGTGCTGCTTCCCCCAAGGCAGGCCCTACTCACTGTGTCTCCCCTGGATGCACACCTTCCCAAGGACTCGAGACACAAAGGAGACAGAACAGTGTAGGCCACCTGGGAGAGAAAGCAAGGAGGTCATGGGACAATACACACAACACTGACCAAGTGGACAGACCTGCAGAGACTTGAGGGTGCCAGATTCCTCCTGGGCTCTGAGTCCCACAGGGGTGTAGGTCACAGGGGACTTAGGGTGTTGGGCCTGAGCACATGGAAAGACAGTGAACCACAGTGGGAACTCATCACCACAAGGAGACTGAGTTAAGCAATCAGAGTTAAACAAGCTGAGCTGAGGTACAGCTCAGGCCTGAGTGAGCCCATGATAGAAATAAGAAGGGAGGGGCCATACTGCAGGAAGAGGCAAATCCACCCACTGGCCTTGCCTTACAGGCCACTGACCCATGGAATCACACTGCCCCAGACACTCCTTTCTCTTGAAACTGGAAGCCATGCTTGTGAGGCCCAGAAGAGGCAGAGCCAGCCCCAAACAGCACACAGGATAATACCTAGTGCTCTGTGAGCAAGTCCACCAGCAGCACTTGCCTCCAGACCCAAAGACCTCCCAGCACCTTCACCTTGCCATGGGAGCCTGAAATGCCATCGCCAAAGGCATATGAGACAAACCCAAGTTGGCAGGGGAAGTGGATGGAGAAGGAGGGGATGACAGCTAAGAAGAGGGACAGGGAGACACAGCACTCACCTCGGAGAGAATCCACCACTGACTGCAGCACCTGCACGGCCTCCTCACCCAGCAGTGGGAAGTAGTTCTGGGGGAAGAACTGGGCCAGGTTATCCTGCTGCAGATGGTTGCCCAGGTGGTCAGGCAGGCTCACCACCTTGCTGAGTAGTGTCTCCTGGAGCAGGGGAAAGCCAGGCTTCATCTGCGGCCGGCACTGCTCCTCCATCAGGGCCGCTACCCTGCCCTCACTCAGAAACCTGGCCAGCAGCTGTGCCATCTTCATCAGACGGAAGCTGGGGCTGAACAAGGACAGGTGTATCGGGCAGAGCCCCTAAGCCTGCTCCGGGCCAAGGGAGTCTCCACAGCTCCCCCTTAGACAGGTAGTCCCAACAGCTCCAGTAACATTTTGTCTTAACTCATAAGCTGAAAGAACACGCTTTGTACTCCACTCCTGAATCAGATACAAGTGGGGCAAGTGCAGCTGGGCCCTACCACCTCCTCCCTTGCTCTGCCTGGATTTTCACAGAGTACATGCTTTTAATCACAGCAACTTCTAAAAACCCAGCTTCTCAAAGACTCCTCAGAGTCCTCACAAGGACTGATCTGTGTGTGATCTGATGCTGAACGTGGGAACTGCCTGGGGCTGGAGGGTCCATGGCAGGCACGTGTCAAAAAGCTGTGCTTCCCTGGAAAACATGAAAATGTCCCAAGAGGCCTTTAGAGCTGCCACTGTGCCCAGAAAGCCTCACTGCAGGGCTGGGACCACGAAGCAGCAATGCTAACTGCCTAGGGGAGCTGGCTGGGGCCTGCTGTGATGTGAAGACCCCTCCTCCCGCCGTCCTGCAAGGTCGAGATGCCGGCAGGTCCTCCCCATCTTAGAGAACACAGCCACTATCAGTTGGGGGGGGGGGTTCAGCAGGTCGCAGGCTCTGTTCTCTCCCTGGCACCTTCCAGGATGAACCCTGCAGTTCGCAATTCCCCAGGCCCTTCTGTGCTTCCAAGTCACAGGCCGCTGCACAAGCCCCCAGCCTCACTCACCCGGCAGTGCCCTCGATGGCCTCCATCAGCACTAGGAAGGCCTGGTCAGCAGGGCCCTCCAGGAAGAAGCTGTCCCAGAGCTGCTCCAGCCGGTCGCCGGGCGACAGCTGCAGCCAGCGGGGGCTCAGCCTGCCGACCAGACAGCGCAGCACGACAGCGAAGTGCTTGGCGGCGAACTCCTCCTGCTCTCCGGGCAGCGCGGGCTCCGCGGTTCCTCGCAGATAGCGCTGCAGGGACTCCAGGGCGGAGAGGACGCGGCCACCGTCCTCAGAAGACTGGAGGACGTGCACCGCTTCCCGGATGCTGAGTCCGACTGCAGAGCGCGCGGGCTCCATGCTGCCGGCAGCCGGGCGCCCGGGACAGCGGGATCCCTCCCTGAGCGCACCGGCTATCCGGCCTGGCCCGGCCTCAACCGGCGGGCGGCCGCGAGCTCCGGTCCCCGCGTGAGGCGTGACTGCGGCCTTCAAAGCCCCCGCCGCTCCCCGCTGGGATTCCGCGAATCTGCAAAAGCAGGCGGCACCGCGCGTGTGCGTCTGCGCGGCAGGGCAGGTCCGATCGAGGAAGGCGGGTGTGCTCCAGATGGGGCGGGGACCCGCGGCCACGTGACTGTGGGCTGCGCCTGCGCTCCCCAGCGGCTGTGCTCCCCACCGCGCTTGAGTTCAAATGCTTTGAGTGCAGGCTGCACGCAGCAGAGGCGGGTGATGGGATCTGGTAGCCGCTGGGAAGGTGCTGTGTAAACTAAAGAGGTGAAGCATCAGGTTTCGTTCCACAGTTGCTCTAGCCACGTGTCGAGGGCTCCCTAGGTCCTAGGGCCGGCGGCCAACCTCCTGGACATCCTGGCGTGGAACTATTAACCACCACTCAAAGAAAAGACCACCAACTCCAATTTAAATCAAAATAAAGCAAGCTTGTAATTCCTACCGGCTGAGGCTGTCTCTCCCGAAACCAGTGGGGACAGAAGACAGCCCCGCAGCTCTCTAGGAGGGCACCTTTATAGCTCAGAAAGTGCAAAAAGTGCGGGGGGGGGGTCTTGAGAACTTACAGATAACAGGATTTTAACAAGCATAACACAAAGGCAGGTTAATGGTCCAGCACTTAGGGAGTAAATTTAGATCCCAACATCAGAATTTATGAGGCACCACTAGTTTCAGAGAGGGTCGTTATCTGGCCAGGGAAAGCCAGGCATGGGTGAGTTCAAGGCACTGGCAGGCATTCCAAGCAAGTTTAGAAATCGCAGTAATATATAGTAAAGCCGAAATTAACTTTTCATGCCTTGTGAGGAGCCGGCTCCCAATCTTAAGAGGGAATTAGGCTGGGTTTATCAGAGCACCCCCTTGAGGCAAAGTGGTAATACAGTAGTAGAACCCTTACTGGTAGTGCATAAAGTCCTGGGTTTGTCCCCAGGATGGAAAATAAAAAACTAGAATGTTCTAATGACCTCCCCGGAGAGTAGGTAGGCTTCCCCTTTGGGAAGGGGTGACATTTCAGCAGAGGTGAACGTGGGGGGAAATCTGGGAACATATATTCATTCCACAAACATAAAAGCATCCTTCTTGGGCAGGGGTTAAACGCAGGGGCACTTAACCACTGAGCCACATCCCCAGCCCTTTATGTTTTTTTTTTTTTTTTGAGAGTGAGAGAGGAGAGGGGGAGAGAGAGAGAGAGAGAGAGAGAAATTTTTTTAATATTTATTTTTTAGTTCTCGGCAGATACAACATCTTTGTTGGTATGTGGTGCTGAGGATCGAACCCGGGTCCCACGCATGCCAGGCGAGCGCGCTACCGCTTGAGCCACATCCCCAGCCCCCTTTATGTTTTTTATCTTGAGAAAGGGTCTTGCAAATTCAAAGTCAGCCTCCACAATTTAGCAAGGTCCTAAGCAACTCAGCCAGACCCTGTCTCAAAATATATAAGGTGTGACTGAGGGCGTGACTCTGGTTAAGCAACCCTGGTTCAATTCCTGGTACCAAGAAGAAGAAGAGGAAGAAGAAGAAGAAACAACAACTTGGAAGGCTGAGACAGGAGCATTGCTTTAACCAGCCTTGGCAGCAAAGTGAGACCCTAAGGACAAAATAAAAAATAATCAAGCTGGTCTCCATCGTGCTCTCCCATAATCCCAGCAACTTGGGAGGCTGAGGTAGGACGACCTGGGCAACTTGGCAAGACCATGTCTCAAAATAAGAAAAGAGCTGATGATGAAGCTCAGTGGTAAAGTTCAAATCCCTGCACCATAAAAGAAAAAACAGACAATAAATACATAAAAATTAAAATCACCCAGTCCTGAGGAAAAAAATAAGGTGATGGCCAATCACATTTCAGTTCCCTTTCCAAGGGAGAGAAAGCCTCACAGGACGTGGCTGGGCATGGCTGGGATGCTGGCACCAACACAGACCTGACTCCAGTGACTTCCAGGCCCCTGTCCTTCTTCAACTTCTTGGTGGTAACATGAGTCCATGTGCTTCTGCTAAAGCCATCAGTGCTCGCCCACCTCTGAGCTCACAGGGCAAGTCCTTGCCCCAGCAGAGTAGCTTTCCAGAAAAGCTGTTTGCATCTGTTTTAAGCTTGTTTCCCTGGGAACCTGGGACCCACAGAGCCAGTAGGCTTGAAGGCAGATGCCTTTCCCTAAGATGGCAGGAAGTGCCTGACCCCCAGCCAGGGCCACAGAAGGAAAACCACTCAACTGGAGAGCCAGGAGGAGTGGGGGACGAGGCAGACACTGGGGACGAGGCAGACACTGGGGCCGAGGCCACCTCCTGTATCCTGAAGAGATTGCTGGAGCCCCCTCTTCTCTCAGCATGGGTTGGACAGGGAGGATGACCCTGTCTCTCCTCCTGATTTTGGTGTCCATGTATCTACATGGGGCTTCACTGCAGAAAGCTGGATCAGCAGGGCAAAGAAAACCATTTTTCGAGAGGCTCCGTAGACTAGAAGAGCAGGTAGGTGTACCGCTCTTGGATTTTTAAAATTGGCAACAAATGAAGGTTGGATGTTGAACAGTTGTAGCGGCAGGTGTGAACTGTGAGCCAAGCATCCAAGTAGTTTGTAGTTCTTGCTAGCAGTTAGCAGTGCCCTACCCTACAACTGAAACCCAGGGAGGGTTTGCCCGGCTCTACTCTGAAAATAAGCGGAGTGATGTGTGGTTGGCAGGGGACAAGAGACTGTATGGAGGCTCTGGAAGGCCTAAGGAGCACAGCTGTGGGGTCTAGGGAATCGATTGTGCTGGGCACAAACACTGGATGTGGGAGCCATGAGGTCCCTAGTCTATCTCAAAGCAGAAGGCATGGGTGGCCCCCAGACTCCTGTGTGGGGTCTGCAGACAGTGCCCCAGCACCACAAGTTCCTGCTTTGAGCCCAGTCAAGCACACATGCAGCCCAGCCCATCCTGCCTGCAACTGAAGCAACTGGCAGTGGCCATTTAGAACCTGGGATGTGGGGCAGGATCAGACACTGCAAGGTGAACCCATGCTCCCCAATGCTGCAGTGGGGTCTGAGCTCCATCGCCCCCTCTGAACTTGGCCCCCTACCTGCATCTCCTAGTGTCATGGCAAGGGTCACTATGCAGCGCTGACCACGAGCCCAGCACACAGAGGTTCTTCTGAGGTGTGAGCAGGAAGGCCTTATACCTGCCCATCCTGACCCCTCATAACTGCTGTGTCCTCTTTACAGTTTCGGAGGTTCCAAGAAGTGACCTTAACACAGCTGCAGGGCATTGCCAACAACTACAACATGTCCTATGACATTGATGCCCAGTTACACAGCCTGGCAGAGGAGAGCCAGGCTGTGGCTCTGACAGTCAACAGGTCACAGGCCGCCATACAGGGGGACCTGGCCCACCTGAAGGCCTGGGTGAGGAAGACTCAGCACCGAAGCCGGAAGGTGGACATGCGACTGCAGGCCTTGGACTTGGCCCTGACTGAGAAAACCAGGCAGTGGGTACAGGCAGGGAAGGAGCAGAAGACACAGAGGGATGTCATTTCAGGCCTGGCCCTGGGCACACAGGCCCTGCAGGATGCACTGGTCAGCCTGACACACCAGGTCCACAGCCAGGGTGCCAGGCTGGCTGCTCTCGAGGGTCAACTACAGATGACCAGCCCTGGCACTGCAGCCCCAGGGTGGACCCCAGCCCCAACTCCATATCAGCCTGTGCACCCGGGCCCACTGATGCTGCTGACAGACAGGCAGGACCTTGCTCCTCACCCAACGGAGTCCCAGGACTTCACTGCTCATCTCCTGGGCACACAGAAGGCCCCAGCCCCAAGAAGCCATTGGGCACCTGGTGGGGCTGCTATAGTCCCAAGGGATCCTCCTCAGGGACCAGGAGAAGGTAAGTGCCACAGGCCTGGCCCCCTCCCCATGGCTTACAAGATTCCTGTACTCCTCCTGAACCCGTGATGCCCCTGCAACCTCCACAGGCTTTCTCCCCATGAGGAGAGGACATTGACTTCACACTCCACACTCCCTGCTCCTCATCCAGGTGGTCTCCTATCTGCGGGTCCCATCAGTTTGGGCCCCCTGTTCCTCACGTTGAAGAAGCACCTCTTGCAGAGCTGGTTAGGTCCTGAATTACTGGATGGCCCTGTGTAAACACAGGGCTCAGAGAGGGGGAGTGGGAGGGTCAGAGAAGGGGTCATGAGGACAGAGACAGGTTGGTGGGATGCACTCTGAAGACAGGAAGGATGGCCAGTGCCTCCAGTAGCTGGGAAGGGCAGGAGATTATGTCTCTCTGGAGCCTCCAGAAGGAGCTGGTCCTGAAACACCTTGATTTGGGCTCTTTATGACTTGCATTCAGGCTTCCAGCCTCCAAAAACACAAAATAGTAAGCCTAGGCTGTTTAAAGACACTAAATTTGTAGCAATTTGTTACAGCAGCCAGAGGTGACCTGGTGCTAATGGTCATCTGCTCCCCTTCTTAGGAGACAGCTCAGGCTTAACTAGGGACTGAAGGCTCCCTGGGAAGGTTAACCTCATTCTTAGCTCCTGCCTGGGGGTGGCTCATCCTGAGGGCAAGCAAGAGGAACTAGAGGAGCCCTCAGCCTTCCCAGCTCAAGCTGTCCTCCAGGAGGTGTGGCTGCAGGGCCCCCAAGTCCACCCTCCAGAGTGAGGACCATTTCTGGGGCTCCTGCTGCAGGGCTGACTCCCCCTCCCTCTGTTTCTAGTTTGCAACCTGGGTCCCGTGTTCACATTCCCGGATGCCTCCCCTGAGAATGTGATCTTCCTCAGCCCCAGCTTCCTCACAGCCCTACGAGCTCTGTCCTTCTGCAGCTGGGTCCGCACATCCTCTGGCCACCTGGGCACCCTCCTCTCCTACGCCACTGAAGAGAATGACAACAAGGTGGTACTGCATGGCCGAGACTCACTGGTCCCTGGGTCCCTCCATTTTGTGATAGGAGACCCAGCCTTCAGGGAGCTGCCTCTGCAGCTGCTGCTAGATGGCCAGTGGCACCACATTTGTATCATTTGGACATCTGTCCAGGGCAAGTACTGGCTCCATGTGGACCGTAGGCTAGTGGCCACTGGCTCCCACTTTAGGGAGGGCTATGAGATCCCTCCTGGAGGGTCCCTTGTGCTG